CTCTGCCCCAGGCGTCCCCAAGTCAGCCACTGCTGAAACTGACCAGCGCTGACTACAGGAAGCCCGAGGCAGAGTTGCTCTGCCCCAGGCTTCCTGGAATCAGCGCTGATCAGTTTCAGCAGCAGCTGACTTGGGGACGCCTGGGGTTCTTAAGTTGATTCTGTATGTAAGTCAGAACTGGTGGTCAGTTTCAGTAGCAGCTGAATCTGGACGCCAGTTCCGTCAGCCACTGCTGAAACTGACCAGCGCTGACTACAGGAAGCCCGAGGCAGAGTTGCTCTGCCCCAGGCTTCCTGGAATCAGCGCTGATCAGTTTCAGCAGCAGCTGACTTGGGGACGCCTGGGGTTCTTAAGTTGATTCTGTATGTAAGTCAGAACTGGTGGTCAGTTTCAGTAGCAGCTGAATCTGGACGCCAGTTCCGACTTACATACAGATTCAACTTAAGAACAAACCTACAGTCCCTATCTCGTACGTAACCCGGGGACTGCCTGTATTACCTAATTTAAAATTGAAAAAATAAGCCTGTAACATCATATACTAATTTTATCCTCATCACACGAAACTATCAGTGGCTGTTTGATGCATCTATCTACTTAGGCTCTTACATTAGATCCTGAAACAAGATCCCTGTGCTCTTCAGTGCATGAGATCCCGCTTTTTCCTACTGACTCTTTTTAAGGGGTTCTTCTAATCTGTCCTTTCTTAAGGTCACACCATGACTGCTCTTTATTTCTTGCATCACAGCTTGGCTTTCTAAGACCTGTCTATACTTAAATTGGCTTTGCCAATACGAATATACCAGTACAGATTAAACATAGTTTATTTCAGAGGTTTTTAATAGTATATCTTAAATCAGAATAATCCACATGGATGAAAGGACTTTTTTTTAACCAGTAGAGCTATGTGAGTGGAGTGTGTGATAGTTATGCCAGCAAATCTGCCAGCTATGCTAGCAATTTTTTCTAGTGTAGACCTGGCCCTAGAAGCCAAATGTATAGACAGCCTGCCAAAATGTTAGGAAAAAGCAAAAGTGTGAGATGAAGGCAGGTCTGCACTGGGCCTAAAGTTCTTGTGGAGAAGGAGGAGGAGAACTGCTTGTGTCCTTATTACTGCTCCTGTGCCAAAGGAATTCAGTAATCCCTTCATTCCTTCCCAGTATCTAACCTGGGAAAGTTTTGCTGACTGTAGCTGTACGCTGCTTCATGTAACTGACATTTCTGTTCCAGCCTAGTCGCTGGGTCTGAAACCTTAGCTTTGCTGGTTGGGCAGGATTGTGCTGTTTATGTGGGAGCCTTAGTTACTACTGCTACAATCATTGTACCTTTGTGCTCTTCATAGCTAGCAGCAAAGGTGAAGGGTGGCTGCAGGCCTTGGAACAAATCCTGGGGAATAGTGACAGGACAAAGAGAAGAATGCAGGCAGGGAGCCTGTGTAGCATGGGCACTTGTCATTTGCAGGTGCTGAAGCCTATAGGCTGTTTTACACAGTAATCCCAAGCAGAGGCAGGGTCAGTTACACCATACAAGAACTGCTATAGCTGCTTCAGTGCCAATAGTTCAGGCCTTTGCTTCCTAATCCTGAACAGGCATGGCAAATCAAGAGTGGGACAATGCAAGGGTAGGGACAAAGAGAGACATTAAACAGAGCAAGCCAATATGCCCACCCATGCAGCAGGGGGAGGTGCTGTCTCTGAATGGAATAAAGCAGGGGCAGGGAACCTTTACTGGATTGGGTGGCCACTGACCCATACAAAAATCAGTGGGGGGCTACACTTGTGAGAAGCAAAAAAGCCCAAAACAAACCCTCACTGATGTGGCCCCCTGACTGAGAGAGACACTCCCCACATAATCCTCACACACCAGAGCCGAGGGAACCAGGCTGGTAGATTTTGTGTGTTCCAGCATTGCGGTGGTGTGGTGGGGAGCTAGAGCACCAGCGCAGGCTCCCCAATCCTGGGGGGACCCCAATCCAGGCAAGCTGGGGGCCACATCTGGCCCCTGGGCCTTGGATTACCCACCCCTGGAATAAATATTACAACATACACCCACATCCCCTGTCAAAAGCTAATGTTTGCATGCACCATTGTATAAGATGAAGAACTGTGTTATGGTCAGGTATGTAACATGACTATTGTGCCATTGATAACTCATGGGGCAGCCTCCCAGCATGAAGACAGGCTGTAAAAGTAGAGCTTCCCAGACTCCTGGTAGAGCAGCAAAGCATGGAAAGTAATATAACATAAAAAATAGAGATGGAAATTTTGAAACAAAAAGTATTTTAGTCAAAACATGATCTTTTATGCAAAAAACTTATCAATAATGTTGAATTTTTTTGTTTTCTGTGAAAAGTGTAGAGGGTTGTTAAACAACATTTTAATAAAAAATGTTGAAAACATTACTGAAATGGCCATGAAAATGTTTCAGTTCTCGTTTTGATCATATTGTTTTTGATAGTTTAGATAAAAATATCAGAGAAGGTGTGAAAAATTTTGAATAAACAAAAGAAGAGGTCAAATCTTTTGAAAATGTTTAATGATGCAATCGCTTCAAAATTCTAAAACTTCTCCTGAAAATAGATTTTTATTTTGTAGTCAGCTTTAGAACAAATTGGGCTTCACTCTGCAAAGTGTGTAGTTCTTGGCAGACCTGTGAACAGTGTTTTGTCCTGTTATATTTAGGTCTATTTTTTCATGCAGTGTTGGAAATGTTAAATGGGCCAAGGGGCCAGCTTATCGATCCCTGAAGAGAAGATATTCAAAAGAGCACTGCTCACAAGATTTAGAATGGCACTAATACCATTCTTTCTTTAGTTCTTCAAGTGACTACAGAAAAAGAAGGAAGTCAGAGCCTGCTGTAAGTCATCAGAGAGTGCACAGTGATCAAAATGCAAACAGAACTAGCGGAGGCCATGCAGATATGCAGGGCACATACACTACCCTTAGAAAGCCTTTAACTAACTCTTCTCCATCTTCTCCATCAAGAGCGAAAGGTAAGAGACAAACAAATTAGCAAACAATCAATAAACTTGTTTAATACTGAGTTCTTATTGCATATAGTATTAAATGTTAGTAATAACTGTTAGGTATTATATGTTATTATTTGGATACAGTTCACTGTGGGGTATATCTTCTAAAACAGATAGTCTTTAGTTTCTAATAAAAAGCTAACCTATTTATTTTTCTATGTTATTTCAGGCTGGATTTGTTTTTCATATGTAGTATCTACTGTATATTTATTCAAACCAAATCAGTGAAAAATGTGATTTGTAAAATTCTAAACATAATTTCATAAATCTACATTTCAAACATTGCTTTCTTGATTACAGTACTGTAATTTCTAAATTCTTCCAGTATACACAGAATGTAAACTAAGAGAAACAGCATTTAAGATCATTACATGCAAACAAATCCTTGAAACTTTCCTTCCCTTATTAAAACCTACTTATATAACCTGATTCTTGGCAAGTGATAAATTTTGGGAAACTAATTTAAAAAAGAAATTGATATCCCAGTCTGATATTGAGATGATGGATTTTGTCAAAAATTCAATATTTAGTGGGTTCGATACAACCCATATAGTTTCTGATTCTTATGCAAGATAGGTTTTTTTTTTAATTAAGAACCATTCAGACCTCTCTTCCTTATCTATCAAGTCTTTCTTACCACTAAACAAGTTTTGTTTTTTAAAGTAAGGCAAAAGGAATCACAGTATTATAGTAAGTGTTTGCACTGGAAGTAAATATATATAGTCCTACACCTCCTTTGTCACCCTCTTCTTATAATTCATTTGTATTCTAACAATAGCTAATATTTCCAGTAGACCCTTAGAGAGCTAGACATTTTATAAACTTATTTAAAAGACAGTCCCTGTGTAGAGCTTACTGTCTAGTTTACAACAGAACATAAGTGAACAAAGCAAGCAAATGATAGAGAATATGTTGGAGGATGGGTAATCGTACAGCAAGCATATCTCAGCACAGCGAGCATTAATTAATGCACGAATATCTTCTGTATTAAGGGACAGATCCCTGTACAACATGTGCCACAGAACTTAGTATTGTTTAGAAGAGTAGCAATACTATAGTCCACTCTCTCATAAAGAAATGAAACCCTATTAGAATATTACATTTCTTGAAGTCAAGTACTCGACTGTCCCATAAAAAGTGTGGTAAGATTTTTGATCAACATATTTCAGAATTTAACTTTAAAAGACTTATGTAGTTAATTTATTTTATGTAAAAATAATGAATCCTAAGAACGAAGAGAGGTCTGAACTAAGGATATTAATATGTGGATACTTTCCTAATCAAGTGGTCAATAGATTTTTTTTTTTTATTGACTACTCGATTAGTTGATAAAGGTAGGAAGTTTCAGCACTTAGTCTGGCTTGCACTGGATCCCAGCATAACTTCCCCTATTGCCACTCTGCACTGTAAGGGACAGAGGAGCTGGTGTGCTAAGATGCTGGCTCAGTCCCTGCTCCCGCAAGTCTCTGATCATTCTGCATAACTTTCCCCACTACCCCCCTGTTCCTTATAATGCAGAGAGGCAGCAGGGGAAGTTATGCAGACTATGAGAGACCTGCTGGAGCAAGGACTGAACCAGCATTTTTGCGCACCAGCTCCCCTGTCCTTTACAATGCAGAACGGCAATGGGGGAAGTTATGCAGATTGATGAGAGACCCGTGCGAGCAGAGACTGAGCATCTTTGCACGCCAGCTCTCTTGTCCTTTACAATGCAGAGCAGCATCAGGGAAGTTATGCTGGGATCTTGTGCAAGCCAGACTGAGCGATGGAAATGCCTAACCTTATCGACTAAAAAAAATCTATCAACTACTCAATTAGAAAAGTAACTTCATTTTAACATCCTTAGCCTGAATCAAAACCCTAGATCCAAGCATCCTGAACTCTGCAAATGTTTGAAATCCAGATCCAGTTTCTAATTCGGCAGATGATTTCTCTTTTATTCAGATTTCACCAACATAGACTACGTATGTGGTCTTTGAAATCAGTACTTTGAACTGAATTTTGAAGCCTCAACACATTTCTATTCAGAGTATTTCTTTTGTGAAAAGTGACTCTAACTTGTCTCTCAGTGACTTCCAGTTCAAATCTGCTCAAGTTAGAAGAAAAATATGGCTTTTCTAATTTTCAGCTATGAAAATTCAACTATGGATCTCAAAGACAAGTTGGGTTCTTTGGTTCTTGCACAACATCACTAGAATCTGCAGGCTAAATTATATCTTCAGTTACACCTGTGTAATGCATCCTATTGTCTTTAGATTATGCCTGAAGTGACAATCTGTACAAATCCATTGCCTTCATGTAGTTTTATAGGTTAAAGATCACTTGCCTTTCAGCTTTGGGAGAGATTTTACTATACCATCTAGTTGCACAATTCCATTGACTTTTATTTATAAATCCTTAGGCAATTTAAAAAAATTTTGTTTGGAATTTAAAATATCAATTTGATAAAAATATAAATGAAGTAGAGTACAGCTCACTTCTTCTATTGGTCCTATGAGTCTAAGAAGAGTAAAAAATAGTAAAAAATAATTTTTACCTGCAGCAGATAGTTTTGTAAATACACCCAGGGAGTAGAACACACCTTCCTGATGAGGCTGCTCTTAATAACAGAGAGAGATAAGTTTTCTAAAAAAGGCATGAGTTATGAAGTTGCACTGTGGAGTTCTACATTTAAGTTAACACAGTGAATCTTTTGCAGGACAAGTAAACTCAATGCACATCAGCAAGCTCAACAGCAGGCTAGCATCTCAAGGTAGTTGTTACATAGTGCCATATATAGCTTCATTCATAAGGACAGTCAGCTAAGCAGGTGAAATAAAATAAAAAATGATTGGGACTTTCTGCAGGAAACACACACCCACTGTTGCATTGTTCACATATTCTGCTGTTGTAATGTTCCTTCTTGCTACACTCCACTCAAGACTCATTCATCACATAGTTTTATCACACATAACAGCCTGGGACTGTAGCAGGCAGGGACTCTGCCTTGGGGTCCTGCAGGGCTGCTGCCAGGGAGCTGCTTAGGTAAACACCTCCAGGTCACAACCTGCTGCTGACACCCCAATCCCTCCCTCCCCCCAACTCCAAGCCCCAGATCACCATCCAAACCCTCTGTACCCTTCTCCTCTCCTCTCCCACGTCACAGCTCCCTCTCAGATCCTCCATCCCCTTTTACACCCCTCCCCCAGGCCAGAATCTTCTTCTGCATCTATACCCTCTCCTGGACCCTGTGCCTCAAATCCCTACCCCAGATTGTAACACCCTCCTTCACCCAAACTCCCTTGTAGATCCCACACCCTCTCCTGCATCCCAGTCCCTTACCCTGAACTCTTTTCTGCATCCAACCTGCATCCCAGACCCCACACTCCCTTCATAGAAAAGTGTGACCACTTATCAAAATCTTAAGAATTGCCCCCACATAAAAAAATTATTGCCCATCCCTATGCTGTACAAACAGATTATGGTTAAAGTCTGCATGTCTCTCAGAGGTCATGGATTCCATGATTTCTGCACTGGATGATGTAGCTGATTCCGGGGCTGCCCAAGCAGATCAGGCAGCCCCTGGGCCAGCCAACCAGCCACCAATGGGGCATTTTGGATATGAAAGGGCACTCAATCTGGGAAGGGGTTGGAGTGTGGGGTGGTGCTTATCTTGAGGGCTCCTCAGAAGCAGCTGGCATGTCCCTACAGCGCCCAAAGGGAGGGAATGCCAGGTGGGCTCTTCTGCATGCTATCCCACCATGACCTCCGGCTCTGCCCTGGCAGTTCCCATTGGCTATAGTTCTGGCCAATGGGAGCTATGGAACCAGAACTTGTGGCTGGAAAGCTCCTCAGCCTTCCCTCATCAAGAAGGTGCAGCAAGGATATTCTGGCCATTTCAAAGTAGCTGTGTGAAGTTGTGTAGTGATGGTACCCTGCCAGCCCCACCAACCTCTCTCCCCAGCACCAGCAGAGGGTCCCAGATTGTATGCTTCCTCCCAAGTCACCCACGGCAAAACCCCTGGACCACCCCCACCCGCACCCCCAAGAGAACCTGTGCTCCCTCTCCCCCAGCCCAAGGTTTAGTTAGGAGTGCATTGTACTAGTCATGAACAGGCCTTGGACCATTAATTTTGGTTTACTGCCAATGATGTGTTCATGACTTTTACTAAAACTACCTATGACTAAAACCTAGCCTTAATTATAGTTACTGTCACTGAGATGGACCTGAGACCAAGTTCAGTTCTGCCTCAGGATCAAGCTCTTCCAGAGATAAGAATTTGTTCAGATCTAGACTTGGTTTAATCATATCTTCTGTAGTTGTGTTGTCTTTCTACCAGCTTAAGAACCAAAGGTGCTTTTCATATGTGGCATTTCTGATGGACAGATGTGCACTGTCTTAACAATCCAGTACTATAGTATGTTTTATTACAAATAGAAACCTGTGGCACTGAATCATTTCTGATGTTTAAATTATATAGAGTAAATTTTTACAATTGGAAAATTAAATAATTATTTAGCATGGATTATTGTTTTCCCCTTCTAATCTTTAGCGATGTGTGTACTATACTTGAATGCTATACACTAACTGTTTTCTCTTTTTTCTGTTCTCTCTCATATTTACTGATGTTATTTCCAACTTTTTGAACTTGTTAATATCTGGCAATGTCTCTTTTTTATTATGCTGCTCAATGGATTATAAAGGTGGAGATATTAGCAAAGTGTACCCGTCCCTTTTCAGTTACTCACTGCACAACCACAACACCTCAAATGAATTAGATTATTGTAGCACTTATAGCCAGCATTTGGCTGTTCCAAGTGATTCAAGAAGGGCAATCCACTACAAAAATGGATGGCAAATGACACGTCAGAATGCAGAAGTCTGGAGCAGCACAGAAGAAACTGCCTCTCCAAAGCGGAAATCCCGCAGCTGTGACGATCTGTTAACAGATGATCACGATAGTTTTCCTGATGCACAGGCCAAGTCTGAAAGTATGGTATCTCTCATTTGTGAGGAGGATTCCAAAGGCAGTTGCTCATTGACGTGGGCATCCCCATATGTTCCTGAGAGCCGTGGTGCTAGTCGGTCAAGAGTTCGTCATAGATCTGCACATGATGCCCCAGGTTTTCTAAAAATGTACAAGAAGATGCACCGCATCAATCGCAAGGACTTGATGAATTCTGAGGTGATTTGTTCTGTAAAATCCAGAATATTACAGTATGAAAAAGAACAGCACAAAGGCATGCTTCAGGGCTGGCGAGAGTCTTCTACTGAAGAGGTGCCCAGGGACATGGTGCCTACCAGGATATCTGAATTTGAAAAATTAATTCAAAAGTCAAAATCAATGCCAAATCTAGGTGATGAAACTTTATCAACAGTATCACTAGAGCTGCCTAAAAATGGCTTATGTCCACAGCGGCGATTTTCTATCGAGTCCTTGCTGGAGGAGGAAAATCAAGGTAGGCATGGCATTCAAGTACAACGCAACTGCAAGTCTAAAACTCTGGTGCCAATTCAGATTGAAGTGACCAGTGATGAACCACAAAGATCACATCTGGAGTTTTCTGACAGTGATCAAGATGGAGTGGTCTCTGACCTCAGTGACTTTATCCAGATAGAAGGCTCATCTTTTTGTAGTGAGAGTGACTTTGACCACTTTTCCTTTACATCCTCCGAGAGTTTTTATGGATCAGGCCACCATCACCATCATCACCACCATCATCACCACCACCACAAGCATCTCATCAGCTCTTGCAAGGGGCGATGCCCAGCATCCTATACCCGCTTCACCACCATGTTAAAGCATGAAAGGGCTAAACAGGACAGTACTGAAGATCCAAGGAGACAAGAATCAGAATCTGGCCTCTCTAAGATAGCATTCCTAGTAAGTCCAGTGCCTTTCCGGAGGAAAAAAAGTTCAGCCCCTAAAAAACAGACTGAGAAGACTAAATGCAAATCATCTATGGTTGAAGCTCTAGACTCTGCTCTTAAAGATATCTGTGACCAAATTAAAGCAGAAAAGAGAAGGGGAAGTTTGCCTGACAACAGTATATTACACAGACTTATTACTGAACTGCTTCCAGACATACCAGAAAGGAATTCATCTCTTAAAGCTCTTAGAAAAAGTCCCATGCACCAGCCTTTTCATCCACTGCCTCAAGATGGTGCCATTCATTGTCCATTGTACCAAAATGATTGTGGAAGACTACCTCTTAGTGCCTCTTTTCAAGACATGGATACAACCAACAACAACAACCCAAACAATGATAGTGCACTGTCTTTCCAAGGTGCATTGCCTTCCTTTCCTTTATTCTTGTGATTAAGTCATCCACCCTTGTTCCTTTCATTTCCAACCCTTTGTCCTTTCATTTTTGAGTATTTACTTATGCAGTTTAAAGTAACAGTTTACCATACAAAAGTCATAATGAAGAAAGGGTATTATTTTTACATAGCTATTTGTGATACATAATATAAAATGAATAAAGTAGTTGTCCATCCACAACAGTATAGAAATCTGGTTATCAAATGGGGACAGCATCATTTTACAATTAGGTGAGCAATACAGCAGAATATTATAATGCTGTAAAATAAAAAAAATTGAGGGTGGATCCCTGTTTTCAATAGTTGGAGTCTTAGGAGAACAAAAGTTTTCTGCTGATTAAACGTGCTTCACAGTATAATAAATATATACATCATAATGGGATGGCATCTGGAAAAGTACAATAGCTCTTCCATTTTGTTTATAATAAATGTGCACTGCACATTATTATTATTAATAATAACGATGTCATGCTAACAATATTTTATGTAAATATGAAAATCTGAGCATTTTTAAATGAATTCTGTCTATTTTATAAAATTGTCACAAAAATGTGCTACCTTGGAGAAATGCAACTTTTTTGTGACTAGATCTCTAGACTATTTATATTAAAAGTTTCATTTCCACTGATCAATACACTTTGCAATTTCTGTGGCAGCGAAATTAGATCTTTTTATTATATTTTAAATGTCTCTATTAAATTCAGGAGATACCCTGTCTCTTTGAAAAGGTAAACAAAAAATTAAAATAATCACAACTTGAAGGATACTGTCAAGGCGAATAGGAATAAAAACTGATTTCGCTTGAAAGGGAGATTTCCAACCCTTTGTCCCTTCATTTTTGAATATTTACTTATGCAGTTTAAAGTAACAGTTTACCATACAAAAGTCATAATCAAGAAAGGGTATTATTTTTACATAGCTATTTGTGATACATAATATAAAAGTTTTACGTTTCATATGAGTTTATTGTTCCATTTTCTTTTTAAAAAAAATCATTGCTTGAGGTTAAAATAGTTTTAAAAGTTTGACTTATCATGAAATTCAGAGTAAGCAAATCACTGTAACAGCGTGTGCACAAATGTTTCTACTGGAAGACTGAGAGAGTTAAATGCCTTTGTAAAGACATTTCAAGCCTGAGTTTTTATTTTAAAAAATGATCAGACTACTCACAATAAATGGACTTCCAAAGAATTCTGTATTAGATATATCCTCCTTAGTGCTGTCTTAGTATGACAGGTTTATAAGGCTATTCCTGAAATCATGTAATTGAAGATGGGGGGAATCTATGGCTTTATTATATAAATTGTGCAGTATATACCTCTTATTTTTTCTTTAACTTTCATGTCCTGTGGTGAAATTTTTGCTAGTGCCACATTTGCCAAAAAAATATTGAGTGAATTCTGCAAGGCTACTGCTGTGCGATCTTAATGAGTTACATAAAATATATAATGGAGTGGGTAAAATCTCTCTTGCATAATATCATTAGTTTCATTAGTCATGGGTTTGAAACATCTTTAATTACCTATTGGCATTGAATAATGAGTCATTATACACTGAATTAGAAATACATATAAAAGGTTTAGAAGCAGCTCACATCTGCATTTGCACAAATTCAAAGTCACTGAGTTTACCCCAGATTTACAGTGAAATGAGAGCAGAATCTATCCCTATTTTTCAAATATAGCCCCCAAAATGTTTTCTTCTAGATATAATGATCACAGGAACTCTACTATTGTGGGTCCTCTATTTGTGCATTTCTTAAAATAATTTTTTGCAATCCACATTATTTTTAGTTGAGCTGTATGTTTTATACAAAATGCACTTTTCATAATATACTAATAGTGAAATTCTACACTTCACATTATCAGCAAACTCCTGCCCTTTGCTGTGCTGATATGCAAGGATAGGGAAGGATCTATGGAGCCACTATTCTCCAAGAAAATAGGAGAGCAGGATCTCTCCCTAGGACTCACTAGTAAAAGATATCATAACTTGGCTCTCTTATCCATTCATCATGTCTGAAATGGGATATGTCCAGCGGCCTAAGCAGGTAGCAAGTACATTACTATCATTGGCAAGTATAACTGTGTGAGTACTGGTCCCCTTGCTCTGAGAAACAACAATGTTCAAACTATTCATGGTGTTTCAGCTCTCCCTTTAGAATCCTGATTTCATATCAAACATGACCTACCAAATACTGTCTTTCCATTCCCTCATCATATGTACAGATTTAAATTATAATTTATATTTCATGCATGTGATATAAGTGAAGAGGGGACACTCTAGAATACCAGGGCAGAAACTGGACAAGATATTGGTTGAAACTGACTAAACCACCATCAACCTGTCTTCAGCCCCCAGAGGTGTAGAATCATAGAATACTAGGAATGGAAGGGACCTCGAGAGGTCGAGTGCAGTCCCCAGCCCTCATGGCAAGTACTGATTTCATATCAAAGACCAAGTACTGCCTAGACCATCCCTGATAGACATTTATCTAACCTACTCTTAAATATCTCCACAGATGGAGATTCTACAACCTTCCTGGGCAATTTATTCCAGTGTTTGACTACCCTGACAGTTAGGAACTTTTTCCTAATGTCCAACCTAAACCTCCCTTGCTGCAGTTTAAGCCCATTGCTTCTTATTCTATTCCCAGAGGCCAAGATGAACGAGTTTTCTCCCTCCTCCTTAGGACACCCTTTTAGATATCTGAAAACTGCTATCATGTGCCCCCTCAATCTTCTCTTTCCTAAACTAAACAAACCCAATTCCTTCAGCCTTCCCTCATAGGTCACGTTCTCTAGACCTTTAATCATTCTTGTTGCTCTTCTCTGGACCCTCTCCAGTTTTTCCACATCTTTCCTGAAATGCGGTGCCCAGAACTGGACACAATACTCCGACTGAGGCCTAACCAACGCAGAGTAGAGCGGAAGAATGACTTCTCCGGTCTTGCTCACAACACACCTGTTAATGCATCCCAGAATCATGTTTGCTTTCTTTGCAACAGTGTCACAGTGCTGACTCATATTCAGCTTGTGGTCCACTATGACCCCTAGATCCCTTTCTGCCGTACTCCTCCCCAGACAGTAGTGATCAGCCTTCCAGCAGCTTGGCCCTTTTAGTGCACCACTACATTATGAAGCAGCAGTAAGAAGTAACTACTGAGCCATGCTGCCCTTAAATCCCTCTAGTCATTTTCCCTGCACAGGTAGCATGGTCAGTAACCCTTCCATTGGCTACTGCTTCTTTGCTCCTTCTTCAGACACATACATTAACACACGCACAAAGGTGATTCAAGAGACTATGGACAGTTTAATGCCTACTGTATGGATTAGACAGAAATTCCCACTAATACCAATAGAAATATATACAATTCCAACACACAAAAAAAGCTGTTCTGTGTAACTGTTAGGGTTGCTTAAATAAAATGACCACCGATCCATACCTTGACAGATTGGAAATTCACACTTAAAAAAATAACCTTTGCATATATAATAGTTTTGATGACAATGCAAGACCTGATATGATGATAATGGAAGAACTGCAGTGGCACTCAGTTCCTTAATATACAAAATACAGTGGATGTTATCAGGATGTTCCATTGGCTCATTACCAGAACTCAAAAAAACAAAACCATTATGCTAATACATGCATTGCTCCATACTATATATTATGGGATCACTTGTATTTCTGTGAGGCACACTTGCACTGAAAGAAGGGGAAGAGAACACCTGTGCAGGGACTCTGATGTCATGTCACAAAGAATCAAAGAAAGCGTCCTCAGAATTGTGAACAAGGAACTATACAGAAATAAATTGCTATTCCTTAAACTGCAGTGTTCACTTTGCTTCACTTCATAGTTTCCCAGAAAATTTCTAGCATCCTTCCTACCTGGTTTTCTACTAAACTTTTAAAGTTACAGTGCATATATCCTAACTCCCCACTGTGCAGGGATAACAGGCCCTCATTCAGGAAAGTACCCGTAATCCAGGAAAGCACTTAAACGCATTTAAGGGCTTTCCAGAATTGTGGCCACAGTGTACTTGATACAAGCTTATGATAAGCACTGAATACAGCTTTTCACTCTGTCTCTGCTCCACAAACCTTATTTTCATTTCAGAACTATGCTGGTTACAGTGGTGTACACCAGAAAACACTGAGCTCACACGTGTGTGTTTTTTTCCTATAATAGTCGAAGTTTGACCTCCAAGTGATGGATTAAATGCTTTCAGTTCTGAGTTCCTTGTAGTGCTTCTTGATAGAGGGATAACCTTGGTAGGAAAAGATCATATTAACCAAGTAAAAAAGAAGCAAACATGATTCTCACTAGCCTATGTCAATGTGGCACTAGGAAAATACAGTAGAGGGACTCTTCTGAGTAAGAGGATATGGTTCATTCACTCCCCAAAATTTCCATAGGCTGGAAATAATTCCCTTTGTTTTCATTTCATACAAGCAGCCCACAGGACCCTATTGAGTGCAAGACTTTCATTTAAGAACTCTTCGTTTTATTTGATTTTTTCCAAATTTATTAAAATAATATGCACATAATGACAATGCCAAACTGTGCTTTACTGCAAATATGCCACTCAGCCTGGTGAGTAATGACAATAATAGTCTTTTAATTTTCTATGTGCAACCTAATGAATTCCTCGGCTAAAAGGGAATTCCATATTGCCAAAAAAAAAAATCTGGTTCATCGTTCTCTCATTGTGGCATGCTTTACATATCTTTCATGCATGTAATTATGTGTTTACATTGTTATCGCTCAGACATGTTTGTTGAACCCTTCTGAATTTTCAGTAGAGTGATCAGATTTCCCTTTCTCCGGTTGTTCCACTAGCTGTATATTAGCTAATATGATGTTTAGTACCTACTGTTGTTTTTACAGGTTATACACCTTGGGTCTACCATATGAACCCAAAATGTATTTGTTTATGTTGGTAGTGCAGAAATTATATACAAGCTGTATTGTAGATCATCTAGATAGTTGTAGTTGGGATTTACTGTCTTTGTTTTTTTTTCTTTTAAAAGAATATTTTAATAATCATTAATGGCATGTAATTTTTCTGTTAAAGGGGAATGAGTAGAACCAACCTCTCCATTTTTAGATGTAGTGCCCCTTTTAAATAAAATGAAGCACAACTCCAAAATTAACTTGCTTCAGTCTTGAGATTCATGCAATGTATTTTATTTGCAGTAGACCAGGAGTCACGTGGGAACTATTCTTCTGCTTTGACTGATGTGGGCCGATGTACTCCTCGAGAGAGAAGAGGAATTCCAGACAGAGAGGTATTTAATCAGGAATAAATAACTGAGCATCATCCAAAGTCAAAAGAGCATTTATGAGGCAATCCAAAAACATTTCCATGATGAAGTTTTATGTGATGCTAAGCAAGTGTAATGATGATGATCATAGGAGCGGTTAGACAACCAGTCATTTAAGGGGAGAATAGAAATTGTTGTACTACTGCGTTAACAACGTATTTATCTTTCTTTAATGATTGTTTTAATCTTTGTAAGTACAATGTTAAATGTTAAGATTAAACTGTACTTTCTGTTGATGTTTAAATGGCAAGGACACTCCTATAGGGGATCTACTGATAATTTATGTCAGAACTGACAAATAGATAGGACAAGAATCTAGAGGAAAATGCCAATTCTAACTGTGAAGACTCTAATGAAAGCCAATGACTATGCAGACCAATATACCTTCAGTAATTGCCTCAGATAGTTACTGAGCTACCAGGAAGATTTCTGCTCCCGAATCACTTATTTTTTTCTTATGTCAGAGCTGTTTAAATATTTTAAGCACTGTCCCTAATTTCTGTGGCAGAAAATTTTAATTAATTAATCTAATTATATAGTGATTGCTTATGCTTTGCTTATGCCTCACACGCAAACAATATTACAACCTTAGAAACAGAGAGACATCATAAAGGCAGCATGAAATGCCAGCATAGCTTTTCTTCAGTCTAGCTGCAGCAACAGCAAAGCTGTACCTGAAAAGGCAATAGTCAAGAGTATTCAGAGAGAAAAAAGGAAGGAGAAGAGGGATGGGCCGAAGCATGATTGATGGTGAGACTCCTGCATCTGGCCAAAAAATTAATTTAAAAATCATCTTTGAGCAGAACAATCATTAAAACACTTTTAAAAATTAAAGATATACTATTTAAAGGGGCTTTATCAGAAAATTGAATTGAAATTAGTCAATTTAACAAAAAAGCAAGTCAACAGTGCACCTTTATTTAAAGTGGTGCACTTCTATTACAGCAAGTATAATTTGAAACATTGCAGAAGCATGCTAGATTTTAACATTAAAAAGAAAGGTAAAAATATTAAAAAGTCTACCTACATTAGATTCTTCCAATTATTCTTAGGTGCCTAAATATGTGGTACTATTTTTAAAAGTACTGAGCACTCAGCAATTCCCATTTATTTCAGAGGGCCCCGCATGCTTTTGAAAATAAATCCATGTGTGTACATGCTTAAATATGGATTTAAAAATTTCAGTCACCCATCTTTGAACATCTTTATTTTAATAGGCAAATCATTATTTTTATAATATAGTTATATTATATATAAGTATTAATCACTTTGCCTGCTTTTCAGAGGCTGCCAGCTCGAGCTGTATATGACTTTAAGGCTCAGACCTCTAAGTAAGTATTAAAGTTTTGTTATTTAGTTAAGACTAAATATGAATGCAAGAGCAACTTATTTAATAACTCTCTCAGACACCTATCCTTTTAACGCCTATCTTACTTGTTCTAGCCATTGACCAAAGATTGTAGCAATGTTAGCAGTACATTTCTGTTGGGGGATACCAGCCCAAAAAAGCCTACTCAGAACTCTACTCTCCCAAAGTAGTAGCCCATAGACAAGCTGTGTAAGAAGCCATTTCATTTTTAAAATGTTTGAATGATGAAATACTTCATGTTTGTTCAAATGTGGCATGGCTATGCGTTCTCAGCAAAAAAACCTGTATTTCTTAGACTATTACAAACAGTTGAGATCAAAAACTATTGAAAAGCTACCCTGACCATTATCCTTTACATTTAAACAGTGACACAGATCTTTCAGTATGTCTTTCAGTGCCTTTTTGACCTAAATTTAAAGGACTGTGGCCTGTATTAATAACTGACACAAAGTTAGCTGTTGAATATTCATGCACAATAAACTTAATAGTTGTTTATACAGAACATAATTCTGTTCTTTATACCAGGGAACCATACAGAATGGGCTGAGTAGGTCAGGATAGGAGATTGCCTGAGACATCTTGTTGGTAGGATAATGGGAGGAATATGATGTGTAGTGCACTTTTCTGCTTTTATAAAAGGGAGCACCAGACGGATCTCTTACCCACCTATGAACCAAGTAGCATCCACACAGGTGGAACAGAAGAGACAAAGCTTGCATGCAGATCCACAAGTATTTATGGCTGTGTGGATAGGGGTAGGCACGATCCAGCCTGCCAAGCTGTTTGATCTAGCCCATGTCCTGCAGGGAGTGCACGAAGTCTCTTGCTACCGCCCACAGGCCCTGATTGGTGTAAGAAGTCTCCTCCCCCTGCACCACCCGGGGCACGAGTCACACAGATTGAACCACAAGCTGTTCAAAACAGCTGGCCGTTTCCTCTACAGGCCATGTGCCCCTGGCGGCGGAAAGTAGGAGGAGATTTTACATGTTTCCCTGCCCCCAGGGCAATCATCATAGAGCCGTGAGCTGATCAGAATGGCTGGCTGGGGGTGAGAGAGTTTGCACAGGGCAGGGGAGTGCACAAATTCTCTTGCCCCCTGCCAGGGTTGTGCGGTGCATAGACAGGACTGCCAGCCGTTATGAACAGCTTGTGGCTCTGTCTATGTGCCGCACAACCCTGGCAATGAGTGAGAGACTTCATGCACTCGCATGCCCCCAGCTGCAATGATTGGCCTGAGAGCATGCAAAATCTCCTTTTCTCCCCTCCCCCCAGAGGCATGGGATGCACAGAGGGAGCTGCAAGCTGTTCAGAACAGCTGGTGGTTGGTTCCCTCTAGGCACCATGTGAGACTGGCAGAGGTCTGAGACTTCACATGCTCCCTTGCCCTGATTGGCCATGGGGCAGGGGAGCATGCGTGAAGTCTCTTGCCCCGCAGGGATGTGTGGCCCTGAGCAGCAAGCACATGGAGGGAACCCATATGGCTGAGACTGCTGCAAGAGGGGGCCTACCTCAGGGATCCTGTTGAACTGGTGGCTGGCAGCTGCCTAAGGTAAGTAAATTCTGGCCAGTCAGAGTGGTACCTCAGCCCCTGCCTCTTGCATCCCAGACCCTCCTACTTCTTAACTCCCGGCCCCAACTCATAAACCTCCCTCCGCAGGTCACCACCCAAATCCTCTGCACACTGCCCCGGATCATAATTCCCTTCCAGCCAATTCCCTCTGTTAATTGGCTGAGCCTTAGTCAGGGGGCGGGGCTACCAGGGCTTTATAAAGCTGTGAGTCAGCAACCAGGGAGCTTGTGAACAGGAGCAGGAAACAGGGAGTTTTGAGAGGGAGTTGGGAAGGGGCCAAGGTACTCTTGCCAGTCTTTATACTTTAGTTTAAAGGTTTTAATAAAAACTTCCTGTGTTCCGCACTAGAGATACCTCTGAGGGGGAGGGAATGCCAGTTGTTAGGAAGAGGCAGGTGTTAGTAGTGGGTGATTCGATTGTTAGAAACCTAGATAGTTGGGTTTGTGATGACCGGGAGAACTGTATGGTGACGTGCCTGCCTGGTGCAAAGGTTGCGGATCTCTCGAGGCATCTAAATAGACTTATGTGCAGTGCTGGGGAGGAGCCAATGGTCATGGTACATGTAGGTACCAATGATGTAGGGAAGGGTAGGAGAGATGTCCTGGAGGCCAAATTTAGGTTGCTAGGAAAGAGACTGAAATCCAGGACCTCTATGTTAGCATTCTCGGAAATGCTTCCAGTTCCACGCGTAGGGCCAGGTAGGCAGGCAGAGCTTGAGTCTCAATGTGTGGATGAGACGATGGTGTAGGGAGGAAGGGATAAGATTTATTAGGAACTGGGGACACTTTTGGGAGAGGGGGAGCCTATACAGGAAGGATGGGCTCCACCTAAACCAGGGTGGAACCAGACTGCTGGCACTAAACATTAAAAAGGCCGTAGAGCAGAAATGGAAACTAAGAAATGGAGGAAAGCCAATTGGTGCGCTGAACCACATAAATCAGATGGAGATTTCTCTTAGAGGAGAATCCATTGATAGAGATTCTCTAGGCTGTAGTCAGAAAGAGAGTGGGGGAGAGGACAAACCATGGCCAGAGCAGACAAACAACCGCATATAAAGGAATCCAATGCATCAGGGAAGGGCAGACAAATAAACAGTGACAATTTTTTAAAGTGCTTCTACACAGATGCTAGGAGTCTGACTAATAAGATGGGTGAACTAGAGTACCTCGTATTAAAAGAGGAGATTGACATAATAGGCATCACTGAAACCTGGTGGAATAAGGGAGATCTGTGGGACACAATCTTACCGGGATATAAAATATATCTGAAGGATACAGCAGGCCATGTGGGTGGCAGAGTGGCACTGTATGTGAAAGATAATGTAGAATCAAATGAAATAAAAATCTTAAATGAATCAACATGTTCAATAGAATCACTATGGATAGTAATTCCATACTCTAATAATAAAAATTTAGCAGTAGGGATATATTATCGACCACCTGACCAGGACAGTGATACTGACATTGAAAAGCTGAGGAAGATTAGAGAGGCTACCAAAATAAAAAACTCTGTAATAATGGGGGATTTTAATTATCCCCATATTGACTGGTACTTGTCACCTCAGGAAGAGAAGCAGAGAGAAAATTTCTCAATGGCTTAAATGACTGCTTCTTGGAGCAGCTGGTACAGGAACCCACAAGGGGAGAGGCAATTCTCGATTTAATCCCTGAGTGGAGCACAGGATCAGGTCCAGGAGATAACTGTTACAGGACCGCTTGGGAATAGCGACCATAATATAATAACATTTAACATTCCTGTGGTGGGAAGAACACCTCAGCAGTCCAGGTAGTGCAGAAATTATATACAAGCTGTATTGTAGATCATCTAGATAGTTGTAGTTGGGATTTACTGTCTTTGTTTTTTTTTCTTTTAAAAGAATATTTTAATAATCATTAATGGCATGTAATTTTTCTGTTAAAGGGGAATGAGTAGAACCAACCTCTCCATTTTTAGATGTAGTGCCCCTTTTAAATAAAATGAAGCACAACTCCAAAATTAACTTGCTTCAGTCTTGAGATTCATGCAATGTATTTTATTTGCAGTAGACCAGGAGTCACGTGGGAACTATTCTTCTGCTTTGACTGATGTGGGCCGATGTACTCCTCGAGAGAGAAGAGGAATTCCAGACAGAGAGGTATTTAATCAGGAATAAATAACTGAGCATCATCCAAAGTCAAAAGAGCATTTATGAGGCAATCCAAAAACATTTCCATGATGAAGTTTTATGTGATGCTAAGCAAGTGTAATGATGATGATCATAGGAGCGGTTAGACAACCAGTCATTTAAGGGGAGAATAGAAATTGTTGTACTACTGCGTTAACAACGTATTTATCTTTCTTTAATGATTGTTTTAATCTTTGTAAGTACAATGTTAAATGTTAAGATTAAACTGTACTTTCTGTTGATGTTTAAATGGCAAGGACACTCCTATAGGGGATCTACTGATAATTTATGTCAGAACTGACAAATAGATAGGACAAGAATCTAGAGGAAAATGCCAATTCTAACTGTGAAGACTCTAATGAAAGCCAATGACTATGCAGACCAATATACCTTCAGTAATTGCCTCAGATAGTTACTGAGCTACCAGGAAGATTTCTGCTCCCGAATCACTTATTTTTTTCTTATGTCAGAGCTGTTTAAATATTTTAAGCACTGTCCCTAATTTCTGTGGCAGAAAATTTTAATTAATTAATCTAATTATATAGTGATTGCTTATGCTTTGCTTATGCCTCACACGCAAACAATATTACAACCTTAGAAACAGAGAGACATCATAAAGGCAGCATGAAATGCCAGCATAGCTTTTCTTCAGTCTAGCTGCAGCAACAGCAAAGCTGTACCTGAAAAGGCAATAGTCAAGAGTATTCAGAGAGAAAAAAGGAAGGAGAAGAGGGATGGGCCGAAGCATGATTGATGGTGAGACTCCTGCATCTGGCCAAAAAATTAATTTAAAAATCATCTTTGAGCAGAACAATCATTAAAACACTTTTAAAAATTAAAGATATACTATTTAAAGGGGCTTTATCAGAAAATTGAATTGAAATTAGTCAATTTAACAAAAAAGCAAGTCAACAGTGCACCTTTATTTAAAGTGGTGCACTTCTATTACAGCAAGTATAATTTGAAACATTGCAGAAGCATGCTAGATTTTAACATTAAAAAGAAAGGTAAAAATATTAAAAAGTCTACCTACATTAGATTCTTCCAATTATTCTTAGGTGCCTAAATATGTGGTACTATTTTTAAAAGTACTGAGCACTCAGCAATTCCCATTTATTTCAGAGGGCCCCGCATGCTTTTGAAAATAAATCCATGTGTGTACATGCTTAAATATGGATTTAAAAATTTCAGTCACCCATCTTTGAACATCTTTATTTTAATAGGCAAA